TAAAGGCTACTTCACGCCGATCTTCTGTGAGAGGGTGGTACTTCCCCGGTCGAGCCAGCCCATGTTCGAGCTGTAGTAACTGACTACAGCTAGGCTCTACCACCTAAATAAGAAATTATTTTACTATCTAAAAGGTTACAGACTTCATGTGATCCCATGATCACAGAGTTAGTTTTTAATAATTGGTTTTTCTAAAAATATAGAGAAATGAAAAAATATTTTTTTGCTAATTTAACATTTTTCATTCTTTTTATACGAATTATTTTCATTTCTTCTGTTTCATTAAGAAGTATTGGAGCTGGATTCTATGTACCTATTTTATAAATTATTATTACATTAAAAATCAAGAAATAAAATTTCTTTAAACGTTATAAAAAACAAAAAATATTTTTACACTTAAATACTATTTATTAATAAGACAGTATCTCAAAATTATTTTTAAATATCTACACAAAAATCACCTTATTACATCATTTAAACAAACGAACACTATAGTTTATTAAATTTCAATAACCTAATTTGATACATACCTTATTAAATATATACAATTTCTCAATATCTAGTCACCTTTTGAAGTCGGTGCCTTAGGTTTACAGCTAAACGGGCAATATTTCTTAGTAAATAGAATAATCGCAGGTTAATATCATTATTGGTGACAAAATATCGCTGCCTGTATTTTGAAACGCGCTAACTTTGTTAATTTGTTTTGAAACTGAAAGGATTCCCTATCTGTACCTATAATTACGACGTTTTTCTATTACAATATCATTATTTCTATAAAGATTCGTACGTATATCTTATGTCTTACTTGTGTTAAGATTAAACGGAATTCTCCATAAAATATCACTAGAAGCAGAAATTCAAAAATGTATAAATATAAATTCATACTGTAATTTGAAAATTCGAGGTTCACTCTCTAACAAAGGCGTTTTAAATAACAATTACTGTAAATGATTACAGTAGTTTGTTTGCTAAAAGTTAATGTGTTGCTATAAAATGTTCTGCAATGTGTTTTAGGTTATTCTCGTATAAATACAAATATTCATATTGTTTGACCTATTTTGGAAAACCACATAAGAACGATAAAAAACTCATAATCGACAATAGGCAACAAAACTATTATTTTGTTCGTACCATTAAAGTGGGAAATTATATATCAATACAACTTAAAAAATTTAGATGGTTTAGACTTAAGGAAAACTTTTATTAGCAGATTACATTTACTATCTCCTAATTGGATTCTAAAAACGGTAACCCTGTGGGTGATCTGAGTTAGTGTCGCCTTGAACGCACCCACCCATTAATATGAATCCGAAACCATTTAGTTTGCTGTCCAGAAAATACTTGATACATGGTTATTATCCCACTAATGGTTATAGACCATGTCAACAATTAATTCTGAAAACAATACGATAATTTGTAAAACAACAAATAAACGATTTATAAACAAGGAATAAAATTAATTTAACAACATACATTTTTAAAACCGAAATCATGTTGATACATAATTCGTTATTCTTGTTCGTTTGTATTGCTGTGGAATAAAAAAATATGTTTAACATTTTAATATTAATGTCGTATACCTACTGTTAAATATAATACACATAATATCTACTATAACAAAGCGTAATAATAACTTTATGGACACTAAGTTTATTTTAGAAATTGCAATTATTTCTGCATCGATTTCTCCAAAACGATTCATATGAAAGTTGCTTTAAACAAACATTCGTTTTTATAACTATCTGACTCGAACTGCCAATCAAATACGAAACGAATAAGAATATGGATCTAATAAAGCGATTATGTAGATAATATTTAAATGACCGAACCGTTTCAAAACATGTCACGCCTAATAAAAGTATCGAAATAACATCTGTGAATTTACTTCACTTAATCCATGGTTGTGAGTGTCAGACTAACGTCAATTTAATACGATCTCGCTCAGCGAAGCCAGTTTCCAATGCTTTTAGGTATATTATGTTACCAGGATTCATAATGCGATTAAAACGGTTCTATGAACGGGTTGCTATGTGAATAATTTTATAGTTTAATATTACTTTAGTATTAATCTTATCTCAGTCTTAAGAGATTCGATTATAGAAGTAGGGCTTCATCAACCGTTATGGGAATAAAAAGTACTTAAAACGAGTTTATTTATGGTTTGTTAGTAATGAACGATTGAAGTTTTAGTACGTTTTATTATACTTTATATAAATATATTATGATTTTGTTACTATATTATTTTATATGTTCTATAATTAAAATTATATAAAAGACTCTTCTAAAAATAAAAGTTCTGATCTTAAAGAAAAGTATACTCTAGCGTTTAATTTGACAACTTGAGGCTATCTTAAATATAATGACATTATACATACCGCTACAATATACACAGATCAGATCAATGTCAGTCAGCATACAAATAAATTGAATAATGACAGCGTCGCGGACGTCACCAATCAGTTGATTGGCGCAAGTGCCGATAAGTGGTCCGAGTAATGTATAGCTTGATTCGAAAATATACCGCATCCTAAAGAAAAACAACACACCGTACACGAAATTATAAATCCTAATGTATGGAATGAGTAGAAATATAAAGTTTCATACTCAAAACAAAACTGTTGAACAGAATTTGTTGACCTTGGCGAATAATAATGTTCGACAGAAATATAGTTAACATAAATATTTATTGACATAATTTATTAATAATATCTGTAATAGCGAATGTCTGTAAAGTAAAACACCGTTGCTATTATATTTTTATTACATTATGTATAATTTATTCCTTCAGACAATTCCTCAAACGCTCAGTATGTCTTTATTAAAAAGCACTTCTGGTTAAGCAAAATGTATTTATAAACTTTGCCAATTTTTAATTAATGTTAAAACTTAAAGGCGAATATCACTTTCAAGGGCATTTCATTTTGATAACATAATATAAACACGTGAACAAGTTGGATTTCACATCGTTACTACAAAAACGATTTATGGCAAGACCTCAAATTATTGGAACATCAAAAGTGATTTCATATTGGAAGCGTGGTCGCGATTAGATAATTAAAATTTCTGAACACGTGTCAAACGGTTTCCCATTGAAATAGTTAAACCTGATAAACAGAAGTATCTAAAGGTAACGTGGGTTTTGTTTTCTTTCTAATGAAACAATAAAATTAATATCAGGTCCACGACGGTATAATAAATTAATTTAAATTAATTAATTGTAACTCTCATTCGCAACTCTAAAATTATACATACATTTAAAAGGCACAAGATTTGGCCATTAAGTACGTATTTAGAACAAACGGGCTATTTAGCATGGACTACTAAACTTTCTCCCAGAACGACAAATAATAATCATTAATAATGCCAGAAGCTTGTTCACGGTTGGTTGTATTAAAATTTTCAACTTAAAAGCAACGTCTAAACGGTTATTATTCCCACGATTAGCGTGTGTGATGCTCATTTCAAGCTTCCGCAATTAGCAATGGGCTCACTTTCTAACTGCTGTTATGATCTGAGACACATCCGGAGACAACCCGTGCAAATTCTTATACCGTTACACTATGCAAATAATATTATACCGACGTATAAGTGTATTGTATTTTAATTAAAAATAATATTGAGAACTTAGTACTATAATTAAACACCAAATTGGAGTATAATCGACGCATGGATTGAGAATTCTTTTTAATATACAGGAAATTGGTTGTGAGCTTATATATTTTAATTAAAAGTAACACCGTTAACCGCACCTGTGACTCACATTAGTTATAAACGTATTGAATATAATTAAAATTTCAGAAATGATTTATAACAAGAACAATTTTAATTTGACTGTGTGTCTATACATTTAACAAGTTTATCATCTTAAAATCGGAGGTCAAGATACCTACATATATTTTAGGAACTCCGCATCAGCGCGCGTAATTAATAAAAAAATTATAAAAAGATCGATAAATGTGACCATAACAGAAAATTAACCGATTTCACGCTGGGATGAAAGATCTTGTGAAATTCTATAATTCGCCGTCAATCACGATGCTTCAAGAATTTTACACCCATTACCCCGCTCGAACGAAATTAAATACAACTAGCTAATTTCATTACCTCTCGGAGCAAGGAAACCGTGCTTCCTATCTCCACTGTGAATATAAGCTGCAAACTCGTTTTAAATTCCAAGAAAAGATTTAGATACATCTGACTTAAAAAGCAAAACTGAATTTAAATTGAAAAGTACAAAATTACATTTTTATTGAAACACTAAATATAGAATTAAAATTCATTAGATGAGTAGGAGTTGCAACTACGGCTTCTAAAATATTGAGCACTAGTATTTATTTATTTCAATTCAAGTGAAGTGAAGTATCTCAACATCGCTGTAATATTAGTATCATAATTATTATATGAATTTAAAAACTTAAATAATTACAAAATAGTATTTAACTTAAATTAAAATCTTAGCATCCAAAAACAGTACTTTCTAATGAATGGCCTATAAAGAAAGATAATAAATAATAAAAACAGGCACACGGTATTATGATATACAAAAAACAAATTATATTATTCCCCTATCGAAGGGTCTTGTAGAACAGCAACTTTAAAAATCGCTTAATTTTACACCGAATAAAAAATGATTATTAAAGCAACGATTTTTTTTTTGCAAAAGTGCACCATACAAAATGCATCCATCGATGAAGGTAACAATTACTTGAGCTATTGACACGGGTGTCGCTGCCGGCGGTTGCGCAGGCGGCAGACAGGCGCACGCGCAGGTAGGCCTAGCGAGAGTGAGAAAGACAGAATCACCGGAACTCTCGCTCCCAGCACGTGGTGGGGCTACGAGGAGGCGCGGGTGTACCGCCTGTGCTACATTTTTATTTAGTTTGTTACCGCTCTTTGTCGAATGCGTACAGCTTATTTGAACTTTGAATAGTGTTTCGATAACAAAGTGCAACAGATGAGTGACAAAGTGTTAGGACTAAGCCTGTGTACTAGGCTGTATGATTTCAAAAGGCTTTGGGATGGGTGGGCGTAAGATAATCAAAGCTGCAGCACTGCTGATAGCATTGGGTTACAGCAGTTTACTTGTTTATCAAGGCGGAGTTAATTTCAACTTCCAGGAAAGTCGGTCAGTGCAAGTGGCTGACTTATCCATAGAACCCATCACTAAAACAACTGTATTAGACAGTGGTCTGAACAAAAACATAACGCTAGATGATATTTTTATCAGTGTTAAGACAACAAAACATTATCAGTACACCCGGTTGCCAATAATATTGAAGACATGGTTCCAATTAGCGAAGGATCAGGTAAGCGTAAATTTAGTACTTGCATATTTACTATTAAAATATTCATGTAATCTTACTTATATTTCACCGAAGTAAGTTTTGTTTTATAAATTTATCTCGAAATAATATCATGTTAATGCATTAATTTTGAATCTTCGCTTATTAGTTACCATTCCTATTTATATTATGGCATGCATACTTATTATTATTATTGAAACTAATCGTTTTATATACCGCACATCGTCGTCGAAGTCATGTTTTTATTTCATTTAAATCTCTTTGCTACTGTAATATATGTATAACGAGTATTACAGAAATAAACGAAAAGATCGTTTTGTATATATGTGAATCTTTACCCGAAACCTAATTTTATGAATTCGGATTAAAAATAATATCAAAATGTTCAAAATAACATTAATGAAAGTTACTATCAACAAAACTCCTTATAATAACTGAAAAAAAGTAATTACCTTCATTTTATATAGCAAGCAATAAAGATAAACCTGTCTCCATCGTCCCAGAACGCTCCCTACGAGGAACAAACATCTGCCAAAATGACTCTTTGTAAAACCTGATATCTATACTATACAATAAACTCAACAGACTTGTCTAACAAGTCATCTCGAAAATTTAACGAACACTCTCCTGATAACATTTTTACCGACCAATTTTTTCATTGAGTCCAGATTTATGAATAGTCATTCGGTATTCAATGCAAATATTTTCGGAACGCGTTTTCTGCTTTTCAACTGATGGGCACCAATTTCTTCATCAATTTAAAACTTGAAACAAGCAGTTACAAGTACTCGTCACTACACTCCGTATTGTTTTGTGTATTTAATTTAAATTATTTAACATTTTGCCAATATTTAAACCAATGGGTTTCGTTATTTATGATATAACAGGTTAAACTTTTATAAATAAAAGAAACTTTATTTCAAAAAACAGAAATAGCATACATAGGTGCAAATAAATTTTACAGTATCATTTTATTATACGACCTTGAATTATAATAATTAGCTTTAAGACGAAACAAAATGTCCTAGTGTAATAACGATGGTATCGTTATTACACTAGGACATTTGTTTCTTACAAAATGATCGTATATTTGGTGATACATGAATAGGTGACATGAAATTATAGTTATACAAAACTGTATAATCATAATATAGTTGTTATACAAAACTTTATTGCAAGTATGTATATAGATAGACAATGATGGTAAAATCTGAACTAAGAATCAAGTAGACAACGAAGTAAAATCGTGTTCAATAGTGAGTCGTTGTTTCCCAAATCTGGAGCGAGCATAATCGACCGTTAATCCGGCTCGCAGGACCATAAATAACTATTGTACGAGCTCTGCGCTTGCGCAGCGCGTGGCACGAACGCGCGCCGGCCACGTGACTGGATTGTTGCCCTGCTTTTCTCCTTTTGTATAAAAACTCTATCGAATATTTATCTTATTGTACTTCTTGAATAGAACTATTATTTCCATAGTTTAGTATTACACATCTATCATATTTTATTACAATTTGTAAAATTGTTTTATTTAGAAATTCCATTTTTAAGCACACATAAAAATTCGGCAAAAATAGACAAAAGTAGTGGCTACCTAGTTAGTAATAGGGTAATTTTAGTAACTTACCACCGCAATACATTTTAAACGGAATAATTTTATATAAATTTTGTATCCATGGCACCAGAAAGTCAAAACAAAAACCTTATTCGTTGAAGTGAGTCATTTCCGCAGATCATATCTTATCTTATCAGGAATTGGTTTTGTATGTAACCTGTTAGATTCTTTGAGTCTTTTGTATTGACTGTTTAACTTCCTATTGTGCTTTGATAAAAATATTAAATTATATTAATTGTTTTTAAATTTCAAATAATGACAGACTCACATTTATAGACATCATTTATTCATAAACACAGAGGCATGTGTATGAATGTAAAGGTGGGATTAAAATAAATGTAAATGCATTCCGCGTATCCCTTTCGAATCACGTTTATCATTTATAATATTTGATTAATAAAAGAATATAATAAATCGCTAGGAAACAAAGACTAAGTATAAATGCTCATAAACAGACTAAAATAAATGTATATACCTTTTAAAACTATATAGTACAACTGGATACTTTCAGACTTGACTTTCAAGACTTGCTTCTTTTATACACTTTATTCTTATTAAATAATTTATATCATTTCTGTTTATCTAAAGCAGACATTTAAATTTTTACATTTCAACGTTTCCCGTAAGCGGCTTTTTACTATTCATTATAATAACTGTCTGGAAACATAATAGATTTGGTAACTTATGTATTATCTATTTTTATTGCAAATAAAACCGTATATTTTTAAACTTAAGGTCTTTTCAAAATTTTGCCTACATGAAAATTTGATCACGGTGTACCTATTCAGGTGAATGGTATTCCGTAAACGATATTAAAATTATCAGCTAATTATTCGTATCCCTTACTTTGAACGTGCTTTTCTAATTAATGGTGCTCTTAAAAACATTTGCTGTTTTGCTGAATATAGGTATTCTGTTTTCGAATTACGATAGTGTTACTTGTCAAAAGTGATCGAACATCGAGATTACTTACGTTAGAACAGTCAACCAAAACACCTTTAGTACCGATGTTATTCATTCTAACACGTCTGAACATTTTTATGGAGATGATTTATAGATAATTGGAAAACTATTGGTCTTAACTTACAAATTTTTAGTATGTATAGAAGTTTAGTCCTTATCTAACCTTTGTCTTCAGAAGATAAATAGTGCACATAACTGTTTATATATTGAAGCATATAGTACATAAATATGTATATGTGAAATGTACATTTTTGTTTGTTCTAAGTTATTTATATCCCTACAAATTAAAAGTCATATTTTTTATAAAGGAATGGTTGCTTATTTGTTTCTCATCGACATCTCGATATTGTCTAGCTGTTAATTTATGTTGCTATTAAAATACCTAATTTAAAGACGCTTTGTATATTTCTTTAATTATATTCTTTGTTTCAGACGTGGTTCTTCACAGACACTGATAATCAACAACAACAAAACCAAACAAGTTAGTATTGTTTCTTTCTTTGTCAGAATATTTATTTTCCATTTTGTATTTTTCCCACCATGTAGATATATAACTGTGCTTTCGAATTTGGTTTATAAATTTTAAGAGAGCTTGTTACATTTCGGTACAAATTACGACAGTTGTAAACTGTTGTTTTGGTTGTCATTTAGAAATATCTGTCGTTTTCTTGGTAAGCTGGCAAACTCGAATGTTTATCTGAAAAGTTGAATCGTTGAGTAACTTTTATGTTGTTGAACAACAACAGAATGAATTCTAAATTGCTACATATAAATTTACGGAGATGAAAATTTCTGGTCTCATTTTTAGATTTTATTAATTGGAATTGAATAATAATAGAAATAGCACAATCTACTACAATATTTGAAGCCTTTTGGGTAATGCTTAAAATAGTTTTGTTTTGTTGTCAGATGGTCACATGGTTAACACAAAATGCTCGGCATCACATCAACGCAAACACCTTTGTTGCAAAATGTCAGTTGAATATGATCACTTTCTAGAAAGTGGTAAAAAGTAAGTAAAATTAATTATTATCTTAAGTTACTAACTATTTTTATAAAACATATATATCAAAATATGTCCCCGTTTTTGAAAATTCTAAATATTTATTTGCTTATTTATAGATACTTAAAGTATGTCCTTTTTGTGAGTAATAATACTTCATAAGAAATCATTAACCTATGAAAAGTAACAAAGAAAAATAGACAAAAGATTTTTTATTTATATTAATTTACAATAAGACTGAGGGAAATATAATTCCAAAAGGCACTTCATTATGTTTGAAAACAACATTTTCTTAAATGCTAGTAATTAAGCTAACTATTTTCTTACAAATATTTTTATTCAAACACTCTTTTATCTTTTACATCATTTAATTATGATGAAATTTACGGCAATTATAATGCAATTAAACTTAAATTTATACACGCATTGTGACGGCGTGATGAATCTTGATTTATCAAAGCTATAATTATTATGTAGATGTATGCTGTATAATTAACAAAGACAAATGTGTTGTACTGAATGTGGCCAAAACAGACTTAATCAATCAAAAGTAATTATATTATTATTAGACCTTGATCTGTGCTTGTTCGTTTGATGTTGGCCTGAAGGCGTTGCTAATTATCAGATCTCATACAGTTATTTCATTTCATACACATATATAGTATTTATTTTCCAGAAAAGAATGTACTTTTATATATCATGTATTATAAAGATATTTTTTTTTGAGCAGTATATAAAATTAAAAATAATTTCCCGTACCGTATAAACGGTTCGTCAGTAACGTATAGACTCATTGGATTCCATTGTCAACTCAAACATCTGGATCGAGTGCTTTTTTGTTTTAAGTAAAAACAAGACGCTCTTAACTTCTGTTTTTAGAAGCTTGTCCGGTAAATAATAAACATGGTCCATTGTTTGACGACGCTAATGACCGGCGCATCGGATACGACTGGCTTTAAATAAATCACCCTAATTGTTTGATTATTAATGACTGTCATAACTTATAGCTATTTCATGTGATTAATTGTTAGGTCGACATTTAAAATATTAAAATTTTGATTGATATCAAAATATTGCTTATAAAGTTCACGTGAAGATTTATATACATATTATATTTTAACTAGATTTACCTATGTAAAATAGGTAGAGAGATAGGGTTAGGTTTTTTATGTATCGATAATAGACAAGGCTTTTTTTTGAATTTTAACGTCTATCCCTGCGTCGAGCATCTCAACCGTTCTACCTGTATTATTTGCTATGTTATCTTTGAATCTTTTCAACCAACAGTGTCATGGGTTTTTAAGTCGGGGCGAAGTCATATTTAAACAAACAACACAAGTTAATGGTTTTTTGAGAACAAGTTCAATATTATTACGGACTCACAATGATTTTCACGCGTTTATTTGAATAGAAATAAAAACTCATCCTCCTACCGCTATTTTTATTATCATAAGATCTTAGTTTTGTTCTCATGGACCTTTGTTTAGTTTTAACATTGAATGAATGTGTTCAAAAATTTTAGTCTCTGCTAAAGAAAATTTCAGTTCAAGATCTAAAATATAGTAAAGGTATCGATCAATATTGAAAGGGAATATTATTAAATAAAATATCAATCATATTTATTTTACTTATAGTTAAGTTATACCTGAACATTAAAAGTATATTTCTTGTAATACTATTAGGACAAACCAAGTTATGACCTTTTATATGACTGTGAATGTTCAACTAAGCTAGGACAATTAAAGTCACGACTTCCCTATTCTGTAAAATTTGTATTGCTTTGCTATTTTTTATGAGGTCAACGTTTAGAATTCGGTTATATTTGATTTACTCGTTAATATTCAATGCAAGTACTTGCTTTATTCAGAGAATATTAAACGGTGAGATATACATATAATGAAACAACCTAAATTACTTAAGTGCAAGTCTGATACGATGGAAATTGGATCCCTGTTATGACTTAGTATAGCAGTCATTTGTCGTACGCCATCTTGCAATATGTGGTCTCGCTTGCGCAGCCGCAGCTCCTGTTATTTGCGCAAACCGTAATGTCAGTAAATTATACCACAGGACTAATTATTATTGGCACTCGAAGTAAATCTTGAGAAATAATTTATACAAAGTACAGGTTCCTACAATCAAGTAATTATCTATATTTGTACCCTTTCAATTACGAATGAATTGAAATAGTGCCTAACTCTTTATATTATATTAATACGTAATTGATCTCAAAGTTGTTTTTTTACTTGAATAGATTTAGTACCTAAATGATTAAGGCAATGTCGTCATATAGTAAAATTCGGTATAGAGATAAATTTCCTTCATTGCGTTTCTTTTCTCTATGCTTTAATGTTTACATTTATTACTTCCTTGTTAAATTTAACTATAATTCAACAATATTCTTTTGTTATTAGATGGTTCTGTCATTTCGATGATGACAACTACGTGAATGTACCTCGTTTGGTCAGCGTGCTTCAAACTTATAACCATCAAGAAGACTGGTATCTAGGGAGAACTTCTGTATATGAACCGGTCAAGATTTATAAGAAGCCGACTAATCAGGTATAATATTAAAATAGTATCCTATTGAAAACAATATTTTTTGGATTACTGCGCGTATTTTGTTATTTTAAAAACTACATACTCCCGATGTTTCGGTTACTTTGCAGCAACTGTGATCACGGGCAGATAAGCTGTGACGATGAGAAGTGATATAATTGGCATAGTAATTCATAAAATACTAATTTCATTTAAATTAATACTTTAAATATTAGTAATTAGTATCCTTTATTTATTGTATACTCGTATGTATTAATACTGATATTATTATCATTTCGAACTTAATATTTCACCTTTAACGTACTATTACATTTAATTAAAATTTAACATAGTGAAGCAAATATCAATTATAATGATGTTACAAAACGCTGCTCGCCAGCTATTTACCGACAAACGTTTACCAACAGTCGAAGACTAATTTAATTAACGTTTTGTTTTAGTTACTATTTTCATTTTGGTTTGCAACGGGCGGTGCCGGATTTTGTGTTAGCCGAAGTTTAGCTCTGAAAATGTTACCAGTGGCAAGGTACATCGATTTAATTGAATAAAACATTTCTGATCATTGAACATTTTCTATTAATAATTTTATTATAAATTATTTTATTTTATTTTTGCAGCGGCGGAAGATTTATAAGTATATGTGAAGGTATTCGGTTACCGGACGACGTTTCTATGGGATTTATAATAGGTGACTTTTTATATATGCTTCTTGTTGCAATTTTCATATCTTTTGATAAAGTAATTCATTTTGAAATGAAAATCATTTTAGAACATCTTATGAAGAAGAATCTAACTTTGGTGCCAGAATTTCATTCTCATTTGGAACAAATGAAACTCTTGATGTCGGAAAGTTTCCGTGACCAGATATCATTCAGTTATTCGAAAACGAAGAACGTCTGGAATGTTATCAACGTACCCGGTTTTGATTCTAGATACGATCCTACAAGGTAAGTCTCTCTAATAGTTCTTTAATCTGTAAATATTTATAATATAGTTCATATATAATAAAAATACCAGTACATTTCGTTAGTATTCTAAGTAAAATTACCTGTTATAACTACCATCAAACGCCACATTAGAATTTCTATTGTTTGAACATACCTCAAGTGAATATCATTTGTTTCAGGTTCCTTTCACTGCATTGTTTCCTTTTCCCTCATTTCAAATTTTGTCCGAGGTAAAAGCTGTTAAAAATTTAAATAGATTATTCAATATATTTTTACATTCCGTATATTTTTCATATTAGTAGGTGCAATAAATTATATATGCGATTACGAATAGGTTGTGATATTAATGTTATCAAGAAATTTTTGATTAACAATGTCAGTTTATTTCGATCAAAGCATCACACCTAGCTTGAATGCCTTATAAAATCCTAACTGTGATATTAGATTAAATATAATTCTAAGTTCTGTTTATATAGCTAATAAATATATATTTAAACTCATTCAGTCAAATGTTATGCTGTTGTTTTGTAATAAGTTGTTTATTAAATAAACAATTGTAAATTGGATATTACTTTTATTATTATTTGTCCCCTATTAAAATGTTATGTAATTTATTTATTTTAATTATGACACAAATTATCAACGATTAAATATTCACTCAGATGAAAAAACTTTTTGAATATATTAGTCCATATCTTTACATATGAATAAATTCAACACAAAATATTTTTTTATAGAACACTTGAGCCAGCATCAGATTAAAAGTGTTCTCAAAATTAAGAACGTTTGCCATCTCAAATTACTGATATGTAAATATATACATGTTATTTATGTTATTCGATATACACACAGGTGTACAATGATGACCACAGCGAATAACAAAAAAGGATAATAGCTATGGAATATAAATGGAATGCGTTACAGGTTGCAAATCTGACAGAGATGGCGAATCTTTATGTTAATCATTCAAGGAATGTCAGGTTAATGTCCTCCCAGCGTGTTGATGTTTTAATTTAGAAAAGGATATCGCATGCTTTTTATTATTAAGGTTTTGGGTTTCAAAACATAAATAATTAAACCGTCTGTTATTGTTTTGAATGAACAATTCAAACCATTGTTTTAAAATTATAGATAAATACAATATTAAAAATACAAATTCAAACATTGCTGTCATGTTATCTGATGCTTTGTTGAAACAATACTTTATCATAGTTATGTAACCACGACAAAGTTTTAAATAGCGTTTTTTTATAGACAAAAAATATAACATATACGCTTCCAATCATCTGGTTCGTTTAATCAAAACCGATCTAATTTCACGTCTGAACATTAGGCGATTATGTAGCATTAAATTTTCTTTGAGCTTCTTAAATGTCTAATTAACATTGACATGCCTCATTCGCTCCGCAGTGGCGGGTCTTGGCGTTTCCTGTCCAGCCACCTGCACTTTCAGACTTTTTATTTCTAATCGATTATCAACTGCAGACTCATTCTGCGTAATAGGCTACTTTAATATGTTCTGCATCAGTTAGAATGACTTGGTGCAGTCCTGATTCTATAGCAGTCACTTTTGATTGGTAGCAAACGAAACGTGGAAGTAAAATATTACGTTTCTTGCAATATGTGCATTTTTAGTGATAATTTATTTCTTAATTATAACAACACTCTTCTCTCCAACTGCAATAAAGTGGATGTCATAATCTATGGGTAGAAACTTCACAGCGTCTATGAATGCTTATTTTTTATTAGACTGGCCATAACAGCTTTCTATAATATGCCGTACAGGCCGATTAACTGAACTGGACCATTTGATGAGTAAGAATAAACATAATTAATCTTTCAAAGAATGCCGATTGATCTCTCAACCGCTAGCTGGAAATTACTCTAAATTTAATTGGATGCCTTTTTATTTTGCTTCGTAACCTTTCCTTTCGAATGTTTATCGTTACAATTAATAAAATATAGACACAAATGTTTAAACATTCTGTGTTTTTATTTATTAATATATCATATGGCAGTCACATTGAGACTTTTAAATTTATAAGACTCAAAACTTATTATATTGAGTATAGCTTTGCCGCGATATAATTGACATAGAACCAGTTAATAACAGTTTTATCGTCAAGTCAGAATGACAACCGGTTCTTATCAATTAAACTTCCTTCAGCTGGGACGTGTACCGTGTTATTTAGAAATCGATTGACAAAGATTTTCCGTTCCAACTTAATATTATATACTGTTTTAAATAATTTACATTGCAACATGAATCTTGCGGGGAGATTTCAATATCAAAAGCCGTTATCATTACCGATAGTTTTGTGCCTTTAAGTTGACATCATTCCAATTTAGCGAGGAGATAAGTTCTTGGAATAAAATCATTTTAGATATCAGAACGACTTTTGAAATATAAAGTTTTGTGAGTTAAAATTTGAATACAATTTGAAAATAAAATTAAAAGTTAATATAGTTGATTGGTTCATAATTAAATATGTCTTACAAGATTTTCCTCTCCTGTTTTGACAAGGTGAAATTAGAATATAAAATCCAGGAATATAGATGCATTATTATGAGGACGAGATCGCATTATTGTTTGGCAATTAGTTATATTATGTAAGTATAAAATATAGATATTTAAGCAAAATAGTCTGTTCATAATACAAGACCATGTACACTTTTGTACCCCAAAAAGAAAAGAATCGTTAATTCAACCTAAACCAAATAATGTTGCTTTATTTCTCTAAATGATCATTTTGATTCCACATACTTAAATATACGAGTAATACATTTAAACACAAATCAAATCTAAAATTATAATACATACAATTTGAGACTCTTTAATATCAAAAATAAGTAATATTTTTGATGGACAGTTAAACATAAACTGCATAAAATTTTAAATAACAAAATACAATCCTTTCACTGAATCGGACAATGTAAGCAGTCAAGGGTGCGGCGGTGAGGTCACGCCTATTCAAATGTGGTTCATATCTGCTATCTGTGATTACATTTTGCAATTCAGTGCGCCGTTCAAACTTATCTCTAGTCATTAATCCGGCTTTTGTTGCGACAATTCGCGGCCAACCTTTTGTTAGGTTAGCTATATCTCTATAAGATCCCCTTTATAGTCCTAGTTTTATATTTCATATTGTTAGATGTTTTATGTTTACACAAAAATTTAAACTGTTTTTGTGAATATTTTAATATTACAATTACTGGGACAGTGAATATTTTGAAATCTCACAAATTTAGTGTTCGCCTAACAAATAAATTAAATAATATTACCCTTAAATCTTCCCATTATCTTATATTGAAAGAACATAAAGAGAACCGAACATCAAAGATGTCTGCTGTAGCCTCAGACCAAATTTTAGTCTCAATGACAGTGAACCCTCCAAAAAAATCAAAAGGTGACCTGAGTCATAAAAGATTTGTTCTGAATACCAAGTCTTCCTATTAACTTTATTGAATAACGTGTATTGTATGATACTCCTTTTATAACACAGGTGACCTTTTTGAAGAAAAGAGATTATACCTATATTTATCAATATGAATTTGATTCACAACCCAATTGACTTTATTTTTATTTAAGGTATTAAGTGTGTATTTATCAAATGAGTGTGATGTCAAATTTTAATATGTAATTTATCATCTAGCTATAAATTATTACGTCATTAAAGCTGTAATATTTTATCATTTGCAATCGGTGTATGCGTGTTAAATAACTGAGTCTCGTAAAATTATTGCTATATTAACTATTTCTCATTATCAGCATAAATGGACAAACGACAGCGCCCAGTCACGAAACGATCCGACAAAATGATAATTTTATATTAGTAAGGCATTAGCAGGTGTTTGCAAAATATATGTTTGGTATTATATTTTAAGGCTATGCAATCTCAGTTGTTTAATTTTTTTAACGAGTTCTTGCCATACGAATCAAATGTTGGTTGCAATTCTATATCTGTTCGAATTAATTTAGAGCTTATATCAAATCTTTATCTTTCAAATGCACTGAAAAAAAAAACTTTTTTTTCCTTACATCAAACTGGTATAAGTAAATTTCATTAAAAACTTCTTGGTTTACTCAGAGTTCGAATGTACGCTATTGCAATACACAAGAGGCCACACCCTAGATTAAAAGCTATCAACAGTACAAGCGAAATTGTTTGTTATGTCTATTGTAATAGATATCTAAGTTCCATTAGAATTTTAGATAATTTACTGTGCGGAATCTGTGTTAAAGGCTACCAACAACAAATCAGATTGTAATGCCCTGTAGGTTGTATAATGATATTTAAATGGTTATCAAATTTAAAACGAAATCTATCTCAAACTTATAAATAGCAATAACGAATTTCATATATATTATTTCTTTATATTAAATTTTGCACATATTTTAATGACTTTTTAAATACAAATGAACGTCATTAATAAATTATATGCATATACATAAATAATTAAGTTTACTTTTGAAACAAAATACCTTGAAGCAGCGAGGCGGAACTAATACCTACTTATGTGCTAATATTAATCTGAACTAAAATAGGTCTTGGACAAAGTTTTTAACTAATAGCGAATTACGCTACTTTACATTTATTTTCTTATAATCTTTATTTCATATTTTAACATTAACTTATGCAAAATAATAATTACTGCAACAAAAGTAATTTTTGAAGGTATATAAGTTTTAATTCCAATATATTCCGTGTTTGATAAAATATATACATTTTTATTTTTCATTACTCAAATTGTCGCTCGTTACTTATAACTTATCTAGGTTACTTGGACGAGCAAAAAAGACAAATAAAACGAAGATACCGCAGCTTATGTGTCGATGTAAGGAATGTTCAATAAATTTTATATTAAAATTATGCAGTACAGCTTGTTTTATAATTACAGAATCAAGAATTTTTAATCTGGATCATGTTCACAGGAAAGAGAGCTTCGATTACATTTTTTTTCATATAAATTTCATTCTATTCATTTGAAACATTGTAGCGTTTTAACTTTTAATATATTTTTTTAAAATAAAAACACCAAGTTAGAAGCCTTCGTACTGATACACAGTATCACTGGTATGTTTTTTTTTAAATATTTTGTAAAATTCAATTTTAAATATTTTAAAAAAGTTAAATGAAAAATAAATAAATATTCATACACAAAAAAGACATCAAAACCTTTGCCTAATTATAACTTAAAAGATATTTAGTCACAAGTAGTCACAAGTATATTGT